GGTAAAGAGATTAATCATGGCTCATTTATATCGACAATGAAACATGTCATTATCATAGAATATTAAGACGTCACTGAAAATATCGCCGTATATTGTCGATGTAATAAATGTAGGACGTGGTATGACTTTTTGTAGTCAAAATGTGTGCAAAAAGAGAATCCGTCGACAACTACAGATAGCAGGTGTATTAGTTCAAGTCGTACGTACGAGTCCCCAAGAGAAATCATAAGGCCTTACCCTCGCCCTTCGTAATGTCGCGGTGCTTTGCGAGCGGCGAGGGCGAGTGCCTCTAATAAATCCTAATATCAAACCCGTCTTCCAACCCCTATTACTCATATCCTTCGCTTAGGCGCGTGGTGTACACTCCTGTGCACGAGCCGCCTTTGTTTTTGAAATCCTAACTGGGGTTACGTTTCATTAAACGTAGCCCTCCCCTCCCCCCCCGTACCTCCTTGCCGTGTGGTAGCTCTTAGTAACATTTAGGTAATTATTTTACGACCGTAGGATATCGAACCGTTTAGATCGCCACGTCATCGTTGATAGTCATTTGATGATAGTACTAGGGGAAGTTTATCAGAATTATTTTTTTCAAACAAAATTAATCGCACATCTCATTTTCTGTTTACCGCGTGATCAACTTTCATTAACAAAACTTAATCGGTTATTAATAGTCTCGATAATTTCGCTAACTCAATGTATATCTATATATATCTTCCATATATATGTATATTTTCAAATATAGATAACACATCCTGAAAATAACTGCATCCGGATTATCGACATTACATTGGGCTGCGTCATATATTTGGAATAAATTATTCCTGTGTATTGTTGGGTAACATACCGCGGTTCCTGTAATTTCGTATCGATAACGAGCCAATTAACGTATTGTCACCGCTTAATATAACGCGCGGTGCAATCTGCAAATCGCACTATCAGTTAAAGGATTGCACGTACACTTTACTCATGAATGTGGTGATGGTCATTTTAATACTGTCATTATTCAAATGTGTTAGATTTACATTTTTTTTTTCCTTCTCGTAATACAATACATAAACAGATAAGGACGTTTATTGTTGTTCTAAGGCAAGCCTTTTAAGAATATCGAAATAAGAGAGAAACATAAGAACAGAAATATGCAATTAATAAAAGGATTACATAAGAAAAATTAATCAAACTGATAATAGATGGAGAAGAAACGTAACGATAAATTCCTAATGAATTTTCTAATTAACCTATGTGTTACATCTTTGTTACGATTGACGATCAGTTATCCCGTGATGTATATCACGCAAATCAGTTCCTCGCCAATTGTTCCTCCCTTATTCCCTTTTTCCTCTCAGTCATATCACATGGTAAACGAGATAATTGCACGAAAAGGGAGGCACTCTTCGTCTCTTACTGCGCTGCCGATTTCCGATCGCGGCGGCGGCCGTACCTTCCGTATCCTGCGTCTAACGACCGTGATTCGCGAGCCTCCTGGCTGGCGTGATTGGCGACAATTACGCGGCACCGTTTCTTATACGCGACTGTCTTCCCTCCATCCAATTATTCGTTCCTCATCGAAGTGAACTTTAAATCGCGACCGGTTTCGGCAGACACACAGGTTGCCGCTGCGCCCGCTTTCATCGGGCGTCCCTCGTTTTCTTACAAGTCGGACTATTATTTACGACTATGGCTTGGTTACCGGCTATGGTTCGTGGTTTATCATCTATATCGGCCGGCAGCCTCGTTTCGCACGCCATTCGTTAAACCAGACGGGAACAGGTAGCGCACGGCCATTATTGGCTTCGCCTGTGCTGGTTCGACTTAACGCGTTGTGCATCGGGACGGCGATAAAACCACTCTAGATCGTGGCGACGTGTTCGGATTGTAATCGAACATTTGTTACGAAACGCTGAAAATATATTGGCTAGACGACAAATGCGATTTTTTCGCTCGAGCACGCCTACGATATACCTTGGATTAAATCGCGGAAGAAAAGAACTCGCTCGCTTCGCACGGTAACGTGGCGAGGCTATAACTACTACTCCGTAAAATACTTTAATTAGGAATCTACTGTTTACAGGTGTAAAGAATCCAATGTTCCATACTGCTCTCTTGTACAATCGATGCGGCATATCCGTGTCTCCGAATTATATATATTTGCAACGCAAACAGGCGATATCGAGTGGCGCCGTTACCGGGCCACGATCTCTCTCCGCCTCCCTTCGCCTTTCACGTTTCTCGTTTATCCACCGAGTCTCCGGGCCACGACGACAATTTACATATAGTCACCGGCGGCGCCGTTTTATATTCCCCTTTCACTTCGCTGGGCCAAATTGCGGACGAGCAAAATTTCACGGACGAATATCCGCACGCGATACACTCTCGCGCGGAACGAGGAAGGCCGACGTTCTCGCACGTGCATTCGGGTCGTGACCACCCCTCGAAATCGCTCCGCGAAACGCAATGGTTATCCTCGAAAAATTTACACGTACGCGACCGGCCAATTTTAGTGTCCGGTCCAGGTATCGGGTCCCCCGACTTGCGTAATTCGTCCTGCCGGGAGGTGGACCTCGGTCGTGGGAGGCTATTTGCATACGAGGCTGGAGAGGAGGTGGCAGTGGAAGGCGGCGGCAAGCTTTAATGCCCATGCATCATGCATATTCAAAGCTCCGGCATGGTACAGCTGTACGCGGAAGCTAAATCCCAACGCGCGTCTCCGGATGGCTCTCTCTCTCTCTCTCTCTCTCATCCTCCCCTTTCTCTCACTGTCCTCCTTCTGTTTCCCCCCCGATCGAGCGTGTTCTCTCGTTTTCTTCTCCCGATGTATCCTCCACCCTTCGTCCCTTAGGCTTCTCTTATTGAAAATCAAAATTCAGGCGAATTAGTCGGATAAGATCCGAGGGAACTCCCAACTCGTTTCTCGGTACGGGCACTCGCGCGCGCACGCTCGGAAATATAATTACGAGAACGCTTCGCGTTTTATGTGTTTCAAGTCACGTGTTTATGTTAGGTACGATTAAACTTCGCTGGTTAAACGTTGATTTCAACTTTTAACCAACACACGTTCCTAAGAAACTGGGTCTTCACGATCGTCTTCGAGATCGATCGATAACGCAACGCGTTCCCCGGGGAAAAGGATTACCGTGGCGCAGTGTGCTATGTAACGCTGACTTCCGGCAATGACAAATTGTGTGGATTTAACTGTTGGTATTTATCTCGAGAATTAGCACGTTTGCGAAAATGTTTTCCCGTCGTTTTTGCAGATAAATGTTGTGACATACGCGGCGAGAGCGGCAATATCAATTTTTACCTACGTGCGCTTCCAGCGAAATATGACTGTAATCCTTAACGTATTATCTTTAAAAGAAAGGCAACAACGTACACGAGAGTTCTTTTTTTCTCGCCGCTTAATTCTTGGAAATTAATGTAAATAGATATTCATTATGCTCTCTAAATGCAGAGCGGATCCAGAGAGACGGGGGGATGTTGTCGGTTTCCCCGCGGAAGGCAGAACGAACGACAAATCCCATGATCGAACTTCCGAACTGTTCGTGCATGAAAACAGGTCTGTCCGAGCCAGTGTTCGTTCTCACGGACGCGCACACAAGTACCTATATCACCACGAAGAATAAAACGGGACATTGTACGGCGCAAGAGCCCAAACTCATCCTCCCCTCTCTCACCAATCCGCCGTTCGTGAGAGCCAAACGTAGCAGAGGTCTCCGCGAAACAGGCGGCCCGTGAACGAACTGCAAGGGTGTAAATCTGAAAGTTGGCTAACTGTCTGTCCTCCCGGGCCGGAGAGAGCACAGCTTTTGCTCCCTCGCCTCCTCGTGTTCTATTCAGTGCCGTTCGCTCCCGGAGGCATCGCAACGATGTTCTCCGATGTTGTTGCGGGGAGCGAGAGGGAACAACGAAGGAAGTACGGAGAAGGATCGGTGGGAGAAATCGAGGAGAGGAAGACGACGACGGGACAGGGAAATTGGAAATTTTTATTGCCGCTTCGTTTCCATTTTACGGTCGAATCACGCGACCGTGGCTGGTTTCATTCAACGCGTCTTAACACGATTCGCCACCGAGACGTCATTACGGGTTAATACTTTAAACGACGCTGTGGGCGGTAGAAAGTAACAATTGTGCGAATCGAACGGGTGCGTTTTAACGATTATAGAGAAGACGATTGAAGAGGAGAAAATAAATATATCGAGTTTACACTTCGATACGTAATGGAATTAAAGATATTTTAGTGTTCCGTTGATATCTCGGAGATGTAAAATAAACGACGATAAACTAGATGAGTAGTTATTATTCTACGGAACATTCCGTTTATTTGATTAAGTTTTTGTTCGCGCGAACATAAATAACGATAAATTTTTACTTGTCATATAATGGAAATCAATAATCGCGATCGCGATAGGGGAATCCAATTATGTCTAGCAGATAAATGTCTAGCGGTAAAAGTGTCGCGTCGCCGTCGTTCAATGATAGCATGCCGGATCAAAACACGTTTCATCGTCTCGTGTCGATGTTTACCATCGCCCTTTAATTTAACGACAGAAGTCTAATGTACTTATCACCCTCGCTGAATAAGCGCGAACGCTCCTCGACGTCAAAGAAACGTAAGCGGCTTATTTATTTCGACGTTTGATAAATACCGGCAATTAAGCTTAGAGTACATCGGAGACGCGCGGGGGGGGGGATGAGGGCCGAAGGGAAGGTGAACCAGAGGATGAGCAAGAAAGCAAAGAAACGCCGGAGATCGTCCATGCTCGCGTAAAGCATTCGCGGGACACTCGAGAGCAAGAAGGAGCCATTCGGAGCGACGGAGGAGGAAAAAGGATGGAGAAGAGAGGACGAAAGAGAGAAGAGCGCGAGAGAAGCGAACGGCCCTCTTATCTGCGAGTTCCAATATACCGGAGAGCAACCCCCCCAGTTTCCCGTTCGCGCGAGGGCCTCGGCATTTCTGCCGTCTTAATGCAATAAATGATCTCATTCCCGTGATAACTGTCTTGATATATCGCGCTCGCGGAGGGTCCGATTTCTCCGGTTGTGTGCTGGTGGATTCTTGGTGGAAAACGGAAGAGTGGTACCTCCCCCCTTCGACGAAGTGCACTGGAAAAAATACTAAATTTTAATAGATTTTTATCACGTTGTGCTTCTTGTTCTTTGTATGCAATTTCACGTTAATTAATTTTTGTCCGAATAGTTTTAAGTAAATATTTACATATATTTGATACCAAAACGATTAATTTGATTTTTTCATTGAATAAATAAATATTTATTTGTTGTAAAGTAAATGTTGGTATTATTCAAAAAAATGTTTACTAAAATTTAGTAAATTCTTTTTAGTGTGGCGGAGGAAGGAAAGTTTCTTTTCGTCTTATGAGTTGCAGCGAGTGATCAGCTCAACTTGACTTGATAAGATTATAATATCTATCTTTGTTATGTCGTCACAGTTGATGCTTCGTGATATGGCAAAGTTGTCGATATTTTTGGCTCGGATCAGATCATTACATAAACTTTCGTCGCGTATCACGTTTGTATCCCTCTCTCTCTACCCTCGATCTCGTCGACGTACTAACGAGTTCTTTTACGCGAAAAGTATCGTATAACTGCTCTTTGCACCCTCTTCAAAGTATTTCACGCGACGACAGACCATATACATACCGTTGAATCTTTCTCTTCTCTACCTAACCGACCTTTGTCTCTCATTGGACTTTTCACTCGTTTTCGGCGAGGGAAACAAGCTTGCTCCGCGCCCGAAGTTCGCGTCGAAATCAGCGGACTGGTCGAGTCGAGTCGTACAAGGCCGTATATCAGATGAAGAACGTGGGTAGGTGGGTAGATACGCTGTTCTGGGACGAGGTTTAACGGCTCCCTCTAGGGCTGCCAGTTACCACGGTCCGATGCCTACCCTCTCGACCTGTCCGTTCCGGAATAAAGATGGCCGAGGGGGTTGCCGGAGGAACATCCGTGGAGTTATCCTCGTGGGGCTCCGAAAGGGTATATATACACTGGTAACGTACGCGCACGGAGACAGGCGGATCAGGCACCCACCCTCCATCGCCGGACTCGATGAGATGTAAATCGCGCGGTGGAAGAAAATAATTTGATACGATCTGTGAAATATATAGACGAAGCGTGTTCGTAATCTGGTCCTTTTACGGGCGCGCTTTGCTCGCTCTGGAAATCACGAATAGCATAAAATTTCATTGCCGCGCGACTTTTTTCAAATCATTCATCATCATTTATATGTGAAAGAATAATTTTGTGGTTGACTCGTTATAACTATACTGAAAAAAAAAAAAGTGAAATATTCACAAGCAAATGTTACACGTGACGTTTTCTCCGATATTTATTGAATATAAAAAAAATCTTGACTGCGACGATGACGAAATATACCTGTATATTTCCATAAAATACATCTCATTAATTGCAAAAATAATAAAATATAACTAAATGATTTATTTGCTAGGAATATAAAATTTTGTTTTGTCGTATTTAAATAAAGATTTATTTCTAAACATTATATCCTAAAAATAATATTTTTTTTCTCAGTGTAGTGAGATAAATCTGATGCGACGGCAAAGAATGATTTCAATTTGG